AGAAGCCGGTCCCGATCGAGGCGTGACAGCCTTCAGGTGGCTGCGAGGCTGTAGCTGGGAGGGGTGTTTGCTTTTCTGCCCCCGTGCTGCCCCTGCCTGCGTGCCGGCACCCGGGCCTTGCACCCAGGGCGCAGGCTGCAGGCCAGGGAACCGGAGGCGCGAAAACACGGGAGAGGAGCAGCACCCACCCTGCGGGGTGAGCGCCCTGGGGCGGTGGAAGCAGCCTAGTGTTCATAGGTGCCAAAAAAGGTGCTCCCTCCTGCCGCTGCCGTCCTGCCCCCTTCCCTTTGATCGGTCTGGGTACGCACCAGACCCTTGGAGGCATGATTCATCTCACCAACCTTGCAGAAAAGCTGGCCTTTTCTGCTAGTCTGGTGAGCTGAACTGGCTTGCTAAAAGGCGAGGGAGCACGTTAATGGCAGAGCAGGCACAAGGGAAGCAGCGGGGAGTGCACAATAGCAATAGGAGTAGGATAGGGACAGCAAATGCTCTGTCAGCTCCGTTCTCCTCTCTGATACCACCCTCAGGTAGGTACTCTATAACTAACGTGGAAGGGCTGGAATTCCAACCAGGAACTTTTCAGCTGTTATCTCTGCTTACAGACTTGAAAACGAAGCGTTTGCTCTTGCTTCTAAGTGTTCAAGGAGAGCCAAGAAATTCTTTCAAGTTGCCCAACTTCCCTCTAGTCACGCTACAGGAACAGAAAAGGAACCAGCACAGCTTCTCCATTTTTTGTTTGAAGTATTAGTATGCAGACAAGCAGAACTATGCAAAAACAGCAACGATGAACTATTCTAATGTACGATGAAAATGTAGCAGTAGCTGTACAGAACTGTAGTTTGGCATTCAGTTAACCGTCTTTGCCATTGTTTCAGTGATCTATGTAGGGAAGAATGCTAAAATTAAGACAGTGTAAACAGAACTTAGACAAGCTTAAAAGTCTCTTCTGTTAAAGCTTTTCTTACGATTAGCGTTCAGGGCAAGGTTTGCCAAAGAAGCTTTTTTTGAAGCTGATTTCTTCAGTGAATATTTATCCCTTTTATTTTAACCAATGGATGTTAAGAGCCTATGCTGAATCTGCTAGTGCTGATTAGTTGCTTGGATGCCTAAATGGAAAATTTTAACCAATTTCCAAGTAGAAACATTCCACAGAAACATTCTTAATGTACAGAAACATTCTTAATTTGTAAATTGTAAATGCAGAGCTAAAGCTGTTTTAGCAGTCGACGCTGGAATGTCATAGCAAGCTCTTGATGTCTTTTGACAAACATGTAATGGTGCTCCTTCTAATTCCCATCTGCTGAATCCTTTTAAATTGAATCTCTGGTATGGCATTACTATTGCATTTATCTGAATAGAGGGTCAACATAATATGACTGCCAGCCAAGAGAGAGGGAATTCAAGGATATTTTGGCTCTAGGTAGTTCAGAGTTTCCCTGGCTGACGGCTCAGTTTGGAGATCAGCCAGGGAATGTTTGAAGCTGCCAAAGGAATTGTCACTGATTTTACCCTTGCCACAGAAAAATCAGGCAGTGAATGAGTAGGGCTTTTGCGATTCTCAAACAGAGACCCTACCAGTTCAGTACAAAGTAGAACAGGGCAAGAGGACTCCACTTTTTAGTTCATTTTGGTATGTTTTAGGAAGAGTTTTTCTTCACATCCAGCAAGCTCTCTTAACATGAAGGAGCTTTATACTTTCTGGTTTTGGCTCCTACAGTAGTCAGAGTTTTCCCTTGATAGCTGTGTGCCACATCCAGCATTTTCAATTTTCCAGGGATGTTAATAGCTTAAAAGACTAGAGGTATATTCTCTTAGATGCAGATTCCAACTCTTAACCTTGTCATACCCAAAAACAAGTCATAAATCTTTTTTGAATGTGACACTTGAGTGCTTTTCTGTTAGGTTTCCTCTTAGGGAAAAGAATTCCGCATTTAAGTAATGTAGTTGTCTTTGTCTCCATGACTTAGCATTCTGAAGTTGATAACAGTCATAAAACTTCAGTCTTAATGGGAATATAAAGTAGGCACTGAAATAAAATAATCTTTCTTGGTAAGGTATTGTAGAGCCAAAAGGCATGTAGATTTTTTTGAGGGAAGACTGAAATCAGGACCTTTTTGAATTTATTCAGTCACAGAAGTAAGGCCTCAAATTATTACTGCCATTTGCTTTCTGCTTAAGAAAAATGGAAATGAAACCACATCATCAGTATACTCACTGCTGTGCGCTTTAATCTTATCCAATTTAATATTTTGGCATTGTGCTACTGTTGAGATACCTCATGGTAAACCTTATGCCTGCTTTCTGCATGGAAAATAAGTTTTTGTAAAACGATGTTTAAATATAAGGGAAACATTTTCTCAGTTTTAATGACTTTCTCTTTCCTTTCTTTCAATCCTGCATCTTTACACTTAGGGTTGAGAGGCAAAATGGTACATGCGGAAGCGTTTTCACGTCCCCTGAGTCGGAACGAAGTGGTCGGTTTAATTTTTCGTTTAACAATATTTGGTGCCGTAACATATTTTACCATTAAATGGATGGTAGATGCCATTGATCCAACCAGAAAGCAAAAAGTAGAAGCTCAGAAACAGGTAGGTATTTATTTAGTCATAAGTATAGCTGTAAAATGCTAGCTCATTAATTACTCTTTATACTGAGAAATTTGTGAACTGAAAACTAGACTTGGAATAACGAACAAAGGAATCACAAAAGCATGTGAATGTGGAAAAATCAAAAAATTAGAAAGAGTTCTAGTAAATGTCAGGATTTAAACTATTAGCACTTTCAGAACTTGTAACAAGTTGCAATGTCTAGCTTGCAGCGGTGAAAAACTGCTCAGCTACAGCGTGATGTTGTCTTGAAGTATCTGTGGGTGTGTGCTCCCAGTGCCTCTTCTGCTTCTGACAGCTTTGCTAAGCAGCAGTGCCATTAAATAATGCTCTCATCGGTCTGTTGGATGCGTTTTAAAACTTTGAGCAGAAACAACTTGTTTCTGTGCTGCTTTTTCACAATTACAGGTTAATGACAGAAGCAGAGATTGTAGCTACTCATGACAAAGAGGAACACTGTTGTCCAGTTGCCTTTTTAGGAGTACCATGCACCTTGCCCACACCTTCCCCACTAGAGGTCAAAATGCCCTGGAAAGGGGAGGAAAAAAAGTGAAAAGCCTCATCCTTTATATTGGCCTAGAATGATTCATGAGAGCTAATGTTTTGAGAAAAGATTTGTGTGCATTTCAGATAAAATGTTAAGTGTTTTCTGGCTGACACAACTTAAACTTGACAGATTCAAACAGCAGTTTTGAGCAACCTAACTCTATTTATCTCTCTCTTTTTTTTTTTTTTTTTTAATGAGATCCTTAGTTAAAAAATTGGCCCAACTTGAAAAATCAACTTTCACAATCTGTGCTAATGCCAACAATTATATAAGAGATTGCAATATCTCAAAAGCATGTCAGACTTAACCACAAGATTGAGTGTAAAGAGAAACTGAATTGTGAAAATGTGTTGACATAACAAATGACTTTTCCTTTTAAATGGAGAGAAAGTCAGTTTTTTCCTCTGTGTTCAGTGTTTTCTAACTTCTATGCATTATCTTTCTTTCTTTTTTTCTTAAAAATATGTGAATCTCTCCTTGATACCATTTGTTTTATTCTAAAAAAAGACTGTATCTTCCTTAAGAATGTGTCTGTTATTTGCAGGGTTGTGAATGAAGATAATATAGAAATGCGAAGGATCTCTAGAGTTATCTTTAATGATAAGTTCCCAGCTTTCCCTCTGAATACTATATAAAGTTTGTAAGAACTAATTGGCTTTAAGCATAATGTATCTGTATCAGCTTTAGAAGCTCCCACGCAGGTTATGGAAGTGGTTCTGTATTGGGGTTACCTATATGCTAGCCCTGTTCTGGACAGCAACTTAGTGTTTTAATGTTAGTTTTGACTGCTTTTCAGCTCACAATTTATGACTTGTAGATTTGGGGAGGGGGGTGAGGGGAGTTGGTGTGACACTTATTTGATGGGAACTTAAGACATGTGACTTAATTTCACTCAAGTGACTAGTAAGTCATTAGGAAATAGCGGGACCTTCTACTTTAGAATGATTTAAGCTGTTTTCAAATGTGGCTTACTGAGAAGCTCATATTTTTGACTGTCAGACTCAAAATAGCAGCTCTTTTAAAAATAATTTTTGAATAAGCTAACCAATTTCTTCTTCTAATTTTCTTAGTAGTTTTTTTTGTTTTGTTTTCCCCTCCAGGCTGAAAAGCTAATGAAGCAGATTGGAGTGAAAAATGTCAAACTTACTGAATATGAAATGAGCATTGCTGCACATCTTGTAGATCCACTTAGTATGCACGTAAGAGACAGTTCTCCGCGCAGTTGTCCCTCTTTCCCATAAGAGCACTTCAGACGTGGAAGAGCTTGATTTTGACTTTGGATGGTTTTATTTCTCATATATACATATATGTGAAAATATACAGAAAAGACTTCTGTAATTTGGTACTAAAATTGCATCATTGCGAACAGAGTGGGTTTTTTTTAATCACTTAATTTTTTTGAAGCTTTACACTACTTTAAAGCTTTTTATGGGGCCTCCTTAAAAATGTATTTTTTTTTTTTAAAGCAGGGACTATAAAGATCATTTTTAATACTGTTTTCCCATATCAGGTAACCTGGAGCGATATTGCAGGTTTGGATGATGTTATTACGGATTTGAAAGACACAGTCATTTTGCCCATCAAGAAGAAATATTTGTTTGAGAATTCCAGACTCTTACAGCCCCCAAAAGGTAGGAAGGAAATGTTATGGATTTATGTATTGGTATTAAAAGAAGAAAGTTAGGATGACATAGAAAGAAAAGAGGAAATGGAGTTAACAGTTGTCCAAAGTAACAGTTAGGACTGATTGCCAGGGAAAATCCTCCAGGTCGTGGTTATCCCTCTTCCCTTGGTAAAAAAGTAAACTAGTGAATACGTTTCATCTTAATGAAGCAATAATTGTTCTTTAGTTACTGAAGTTACATTTTGTTTGTTGCATTCATCTGTGTAGTTCATGTTTTTAACTGAATTTTAATGTTGGCCTTTTTTTATATCCAGCCTTGCCCTTTGGCTCAGGTGAGCTGTAACTCTGTTGTACAAGTTAGAAATACTTTGTTAACATTTCTATCCTATCATAGAAACAAAAGTCATAAATATAAAAACTTACTGTTAGCTGATCTTGCAGATGTCTCTCTGTTCTAGTCCTAGAAATTCCAGTTGTTCAGACAGACAGGGATATCAGTTTTACTCTGGAGATCCTTTGGCTTTCTCTGGAGTTTAGTTGGACAGTATTGAGGCAGTAAGGAAAGTGGAGGGTGACATTAACTTTCCAGCAGTAAAACAAAATTTGGAGTATCTCTACTGGAATGCCATGTTTGTTGTACGTTATTGCAAACAAGCAGAATTTGAACCTAAATTTTTGGACAAAATGCCAAAGTCTATTTTTTGCTGTGATCCTTGGAATTTTATCTTCTGAAAATCCTCTGACTACTGTTAATTACTGCCGGTATCTGTGACCATCTCTTCTTGATTTCATGTACTAAATCAAGTAACTGAAGCACTTCTGTAGTTGCTTTAGTTTTTCCAGTCTACTTTCTGTTTAAGTCACAAATTGAAACCGTCTGGAAAATTTCTTTAATGTCATGATCTAATAAGCTGAAGGAAAAAAATTTATTATTTATTCACTTATTTTTAACCAGGCTTTCCACACGGGGCAGGGTCCCCAGTTTTATTAGTGGCTTGCATCATGTGTTAATAGAAAGTCACTTCAGAGTGATTATGCTGTTTATGGTCATCGGTCACGTTAACAGAAAAAAACTTAGTAATTCTCTGTTTCTGGCTTGTCCGAATTATTCTTTTCCTTTAAAGTGTTTTCTTTACATCTGTGTTAGAAAAGAACTAGTGTTAATTGTTTCAGTGTGACGAGTTTAAGAAGAATATGAGATGTCATATGTTTACAGTGGGTGACTTTTTTATACGGGCTCCCTCTTTTTTCCTCTGTGATACATTTTATTAGCAAGGTTGAAACAATCTATTAAAAAGGCCTGTCAAATGCTCATAGAAAATAAATAGGTATTTTTTCAGTTTTTTCTTACATTTACAATCACAGAAATAGAACAGTCATCTTTCAAACAAATATCTCTGTTTGTATCCATTTTTAGGTATTCTTATTTTTATCTTATGGTAAGAATATCTTAAAAAACTAACATTAATCTCTTTGAACTGGTGGAAAACTCTGTACTTGTTTGCACATCTTTTAAAACTTGGATAAAATGCAAGTCGTACACAATCGTGTCTGTTATACCAAAGTGTGTTTTGCGTACTGTGATGAGAGAACGTTAACACCATTTCTTTTTCAGGAGTACTTCTCTATGGCCCTCCTGGTTGTGGTAAAACACTGATTGCCAAAGCCACTGCAAAGGAAGCAGGTTGTCGATTTATTAATCTCCAGCCTTCAACACTGACTGACAAATGGTATGGGGAGTCTCAAAAACTGGCTGCTGCTGTCTTCTCCCTTGCCATAAAGCTCCAACCGTCCATCATTTTTATTGATGAGATAGGTAAGAATCTATCTGCTTTGTAAGTAACTCTAACAAAGTGGCATTAAACTGTAAGTTCAAGGTAATGGGTGTGTTTGGCTAGTGCCATCTCTTCTTTAAAAAGAGTGATAATAGAACTAGGTTTAGTCATATAAATAGTACTGAAAAGCAATAGTGAAAAAATAGGAAAAACAGTGCACTTCTTTTTAGTGTCAGTGGAGGAAATTACAGTAGAACAGGTTACTGGTTATTTTTGTTTAGGGCTAAGCTGGTTCCTGCAGGAAGCTTGTCTTCTGTAAAGGTAACTATCTAATCAGGAAACTCATCACCAAAACACACACTAACACTGAGTAGCTTTTGCCATGAGGGAACGTAATAGAGAATAAAATACAGGACTAGGAGAGCTCAGGAACAGTAGTCTAATAAGGCGGAAGAAGTAACAGGAAAACTTCAGTTAGGAAGACAGCAAAGGTGCCAAGTGCTCAGTGCATTTGGACTTGTCACATTAGTGTTTAAGTTGCTGTGAACGTCACTGAAAATTATTCATTGTCCCCTAGCACTGGCACTTAGAATTAGTCATGCAGTTTGTAGGAACAGGGTGTTGAAGCTTTTACCCTTTCCCCGTTTTCAATTTACGGAAAGATTATTTTCTTAAGATACTTTTTTCTTTCATACAGATATGAGAAATGTGGGTTTTTACTAGCTGCTGGAAATTCTTTAGGCAACCACTAGCAAAGTTAGAGCACTGCATAGCGGGGTGTAGGGTCTACTTTAGGACAGTCCTGTTCTAGAGAACAGCTGTTCACCTGTGCTTTGGTGTCTTCTAACTTGTCTTACGCTGAATGTTCAAACTCTGCATGAACAATTAAGGTGAAAGTTATATTTTCCATGAATTCAGGAAAGTGAAAATGTGGAGCCCTTGCAAAAAACACAAGATGTGGGACAATTTCTTGTGATAGGTACATACTTAAGTAATGTGACTGAAAAAAATGTTTAAAAATGTACTAAGACTCCTCTTTCTTATCCTTTGTCATAGGAAATATTTTTCATTTCATTTTCATGAAATATTTTTCATTTCATTTTCATGAAATATTTTTCATTTCATTTTCATGAAATATTTTTCATTTCATTTTCATGAAATATTTTTCATTTCATTTTCATGAAATATTTTTCATTTGTTGACAATATTTATTTTAGAAGTATTCATAAGAGACAGAATAACATAGGACTGCACATGAGAAATAAAACAGTGTACAGTTTCTATGGCAGGATTGAAAGCAAACTGCTTTACTGAATCCTTTGATACAGATTCCTTCTTACGAAGTCGCTCGAGTTCTGACCACGAAGCTACAGCTATGATGAAAGCTCAGTTCATGAGTCTGTGGGATGGTCTGGACACTGATTATAATTGTCAAGTAAGTAAAGAGGATGACATGAAAAGTAACGTAATTCTTTCTTCAACGTTAGCATGCGTTGCTGGATTTGGGAAAAGGTAGCATATTGCATGTAGTAATTGCCAAGAGTTTGTCAACCTACTAATGTTAGTGATTACCAACGTATCATGGGAATTAGATGAATTATATTAATAGATCTTTCTGTTCGTGAGAAGACTGTTTTTGTGTGGGCTTTTCTTGGGTGTTTTTGCTTGCTTTTTAATTAAAAGGTGCTCTTTTCAGAAGTCTCTTAAGTTTGAATAATACAGTTGTAAAGTTTGAGCTCCCAAAATTAGGACTTGTAAGCTGCTTTGAAAGATATCTTGTCGACAGTATTTTTTCCAGGTGAAGTGAACACTTGATTTTAGGAAAGGTATTGGAAAAATCAGTATTTATCCTAGTTGCAGGGTTTTTTCTTTTCAGAAAAGCAGTAGACTAGCAAATGCCCTTGATTTGAGTTAATTTGAAAGGGTAGGAAAACTGATTTTCTCAAAAGACAAATTCTTCTAAATGGAGTCATGTTTCAATTCTGTATTCCTCCCTCTGCTTATCTCCGCCTCTCATAATCGCCACAGCGATATTATAGTTCGGAAAAATAGCTGCTAATGCTTTAAAAAAAGAAAAGAAAAAAAACCCCCAAAACCACTGATGGTACAACAGACTCGAATGTAGCATAGAACAAATACCTCGGTATGTTTTTTAACTCTCACCTGGAACAGTCTTTCTAAGGCCTTTAAAAAGAGCGTTCTTTCTCCAAATTTTAAGCTTTCAGCCTTTTTTCTGCAAGTGTCAAGCAGAAGCGTGTTTTGGGGGGGGGGGGGGGGGGTTTTTTTCTGGTTTGGGGGTTTTTGTTTGTTTGTTCTCCTTGACTTTAAAACTGGATGGTTGGTCATAATTATTTTGTTTAGACCTAGTGTCTGTGGATGATTGCTATAGTAGTCTCTGGATTAAATTTGGTACCTGAGAAGTAAGAGCCTTTATTTTCTGTGGATGAGTTCTGATCCTCTGATGCACGTTAGTTCTCTATAAATTTTCCTTTTCCTGCTGTCTTCAGCTTATACTAAATACTTTTTTTCAATTGATTTAGGAACTGATGAGAACACATTCAAGATACGTAAATACGGGTTGAGTGTTTGCTTACTGTGAATAGGAAGCTAATGGTATGAACGCTTAAGTGGAATTTTTTAACTGGAAACTCCTTCCAGGGTTTTAATATGTTATCTTTTTCGCAATATAGTGACAGCTTCTTGGAGCAAGTTAAGCTGTTCATTCCCTGCAGTAAGACAATAGGTGATTTTATCCATCTCTCGAGTTCAGTGCGCTAAGCCTTAGCGAGTCATTGTTGTCCCTTACTCATATGTTTCTGCATAGCAGCAGACACTGGAGTAAATAAAATGCAATAATAACAGTTGGCTGAAGACACTGTGGTTAATTCAGGTTTCTTGGGGTGGCGGGAGGGTTCAGCTGGAGAGTGTTTTGTTTCAATACCATATTTTTAAGGCTCCTCCCTTAGATGTCATTGCTATTCAGGAGGTGTTCTTTAAACAGTGCTTTTGACATTGCTGTATTGTCTCATTTTTGACAGCCAGTTCATTCGATTCCTTTGTTAATTACAGATGTTTACTCGGGAGCTTTGGGTTGCTTGTTTGATTCTTGCCAAACAAATTTCTTTTGACTAAGGATTAAAGTCTGCTTTTGTTACTGTTGCACAGAAATTCCAAATGTTAGGAGGAAATTGTAAATAAGCGTTGTAACGAATGTTATTTGTTTCTGCGTTGATTGCACCTGAAAAGTGTGTTCAACTCTGTCGTCTGTGGGTGGGCTAAACCTGCCAAGGACATAATTTTGAGTCCAGAAGGAACTTCAGGCACAGCGCCTGGCAAACAGGGCTGTGCTGCTTTGAGGCTGTTCAAGTCTGGAAGCAGTATATAGCTACATTCATCCCTTGGGGAGCCAGGGTTAGCAGAACCTGCAGACAGAGCCAGTTCTGGGCAGATTTCTCCTGAGTTCTGGGCAGACTCCTCTGTTCCAGTAGTACAGAGGAAAAACATTTTGGGTCCAGCGCTGGCCCTGACACAGACCTCAGGGAAGCACAATATGGGTATAGATAGGGATGTCTCTTTGCAAGAGGCAGCTCAGGCTTAGCCAAATCATTAGCGTGTATTCAGCGCTAGTCATTTGAGGCCCTGCATGGAGCCTCGTCAGTGTATGTGCTGTTCTCCCGAGTACCCGCATAGTTCTTCTATCTCCTTTGTCTTTGGTAGGGGAAAAAGGAGAAGTAGGCCGAACGTAAAGATTTCTTCAACTCCCCCAGAGACTGGCCTGTTACCCAGTTGATTCAGCAATCAAAGGAGCATAGATGCAGCTTCAAACCATCTTTGCTGTCCCCTGCTTGATCTATTGCACGCAAGACCAAAGAACTTGTGTGCAGAACTGCTACAAGAAGGAGCCTTGGCAAAGATTTCAGAGCCTCGGCTGTAAATGAGCCTTTTGGCTTGTTTTGTTCGTGAAGCAGTTTGCCACCATTTAATTAGGCCTCTAGGTGGCAGAGCCGCTCTGAGCCAGGAAACGCCACCTGGCTTCGCTACGGGCTACTGAAGCTGCTAGAGCCAGTTGCGGAACAGTGATCCGAAACAAAAGAACAAAAGTATGTCAGGAAGCTGTATTGATAGGATATTAATTTCTTTGACGTTATTCATTTTCTTGACTGATTATTTACATTGTAAATAAACTTGAAATAACAAATAAAAACACAAGGCTGTGGTGTACTGGAAATAAATTTGTTCTTAAACTAACAACTGGAATCCAGTTAAGTGAAGTAAACACTCTCCTTGTATTGAATTTGGCTTACACACATCTAATGCGCTGCTGTTAAAGTATACTAGCACCTGTAGATTCTTCTTGATTTCTGATAGTTTTCTTAATTAAAAAAAAAAAAAACTTTTTAATGGCTTTAGTACCTGTGAAAGCTGCTGATTTGGTTGTCCTAGTGAACTGATTGCCTTTCTTTTTTTAAAATAGCACAGAAATGAAAAGTTTTTCCATACTTTATCAAAATGTTTCCCTTCAAGTTCCTTCCAAACTTAGTTCCTAGTAGGAACTAAACAGGCATCACTGACACCTATTAAAAAAAAAAAAAAAGTCTTAGGTTACCGCTTGTTGCTTGAACTTTCAAATCAGGCTTAGAAGGCTTCAGACTCGCGTAGTCTCTACATGGATGGTACTCTGTGGCACCAATGCTTTCTTAAGTTGTCTTTTTAAATCCAATTGCTGAAATCAGTACCAAGAAGCTGCATGTAACTTCTTTAAATGTTGATGTGCCTGATAAAATTTGGAAGAGTCACATGTTTGTTTTTGAAACTCCAACACAATGATGATTTAAAAACTGGTTTCAGGCTAACTAGTTTTCTCTCTTGCTGCATACAGGTAATAGTGATGGGAGCTACCAACCGTCCTCAGGATCTTGACTCTGCAATCATGAGAAGAATGCCGACCCGGTTTCACATCAACCAACCTGTAAGTCAGACCAGCTTTGCTTAAACAGTTTGCCTAGTAGCTGAACAACAAGTAAACGCCTTATCAGCCAGGAGATGTATGTCTTCATTTCTCAGAGAAATGGAGATGGAATATTGTTCTGATTTGTTTTTAGAAGTGTGTATACTTCTGCTTTTTTCAGTGAAGTTTCTCAAAGAAAACTAGGGGGCGTCTTGTGTCAGCTCATTGCACTTAGTGCTGGATACTGTCCATGGTCAGTAGCCCTACTATTTTGTTTTCCAGCACAGCTTTGCTATTGACCTTTCTGTCTCCCTTCTGAACGCAGACCGCGCACCTCATGCCCTTAGCTCTCTTGTCGGTAGTGCAAACTAACCCAGTTAACTGTATTCTGTAAGGAAATATTGGGCAGTTACAGACAGAGAGAAAAACAAAAAGGTGCATCATCTATACCAGGACAGCGTATTAGACAACCACAGAAATCCAGAGGTTGTGGCGCTGTGAGGTTAAGGGGCAGCTCGCTTCTCACAGTCTGTGTGGGTGTCTTGCTAGTTATTTCAGCCCTTTGCGGCTCGCTTTCCCCATCAGTACGTTTAAGATAACTTAGTTTTAACTTAGTGTGCTTTTTGTGGTTGCTTTTAATTAGTGCATGCGCTTGCTTTTGGGAACAGTGACACCGAGTTTGGATAGTATCGAAAAGCAGGTGTGTATTGACTAGCGTTTATAGTTCCTGGATACACAATATTTAGTTTTCAAGGAGAAAAGAGGGGAATGAAATCTGCATGCCAAAGCTTACATTCTGCTCAAGCCCTTCTGCAGTCGGACGCAGCAGTCAATCTGAAAGACTGTTCTTGTACCCTTCGTGACTTAAGCCAAATAGGCAGTAATTAATGTCTTTATCAATTATGCCAGCTGTCACAATGTTGCCCCTTCTATAAATTTTGCTATTGTTGTCCCTGTCAAAGTATTTTAACAGCACTTGAATGCTTAGTGCTATCACAAGACATTTTTGTATCAGTATTGCAAAAAGTTCAGTAGTGTTTGTCAGTATTCCCTCCTAGCTACTGAAATAACCTTGACTATTCATGTTTCGCAGAACCTTAAGAGTTTCACTCCCTCAATATTGATTGTGCAAGAGGGTACTCGTGTTCCCAGATCTGTCTTGTGAGAACTGGCTGTCAGTCCTCATGGGCAGATACTTCTTGCAACAGTGTTTAAAACCTAGTGACTGCTTTTTTGAGATGCTTCTTCGTAGGGCTCCGTAAACCTTAACTCACCTTCAAGTTTTCCTTGAATTAGTAAGGGCAATGGCAGTGTATTTTGGTACCTTCTCACGTCTTTCTATCAAGAACCACAAGTAGAAGGATGAATGATCTCCAGATATGCCTCAGAATGTTATCACAGGGTTTGGTTCTCTTGAGTACTAGAATTAAAACGGAAAGTGAATCGCTTAAGGCATGGATGTGTAACTTTTTTATCCTCCTATAGCCAACTTGTCTCTTGTTCTTGTCTGTAGTGCTTTGTGATACAACCAAGCTTTGTTATGCCCCTTATAGAGGGCTAAGATAATTTGCATGCGCTCTGGACTGAAAGCACGAACACCTAGTATTGTTGTAAAGTGGCTAAAGCCTTGTAGGTTTCACACTGTAGGTAAGTTTAGGAAAGGAGAACGCCTCCAAATTACTCGGTTATCTGCAAGGCACATGGAAATGACAGCTAGAAGTGTTTTATGGGACAGAATATAGTGTTCAGCTACAAGGTATTTCTATGGGTCCTAGTTTTTTTTTTCCTCTGCATGTGGTTTGTTTGTTTTTTTAATGAAAGTGAATTTCAGACAAGTTTAGCATTGGGAGAGGTAAACAAATCGCTTCACTACCCGTGTTTTACTTCATTAGTAAGGATATGCGTAGGACTTAGTTGTTTCTTTTAATAACCTCATTACAGTGTGTAATACTGCTTAAAATTTCCCAAGAATGATCTATTGAATTAATTTTTTTTTTTTGAACAGGCTTATTACGCAGGGCAGTTTATCCTTTTTATCTGATTTTGCAGAGTCTTTATTGAAAGCATCCTCTAAATCTTGGGAGTCAGCCCTCTGTTAAAGATAACAGGGGAGCTTCAGACAAAAGCTGCTATTGCTTAGGGCAAAGTGAGACTAAATGTCCCTCAGTACTTGTTTTCTTTTCCTATCATTAATATAAAGGTATATGCTCAAATGTTTAGTTTCTTGGGCTCTTGGAATCAGAGTACCCTAGACCTGTTTCTGCTGAGTGGTTTGCCTCATGTACCATCAGATAGGTTTCCTGAGTGTGTATCCTTGTCTCCCGTTTGAGGGATCGTTCTGTCACTGAAATTTGACTGAAGGCCCACGCAGTGCAAAGTTGAGATAAATGTTACGTGTGTTTATTTTTGTTCTTTAATAAATTTAATCTCTTTTGTTTAAGGCTCTGAAACAGAGAGAAGCAATCCTGAAGCTAATTTTGAAAAATGAAAATGTGAGTAGATGTCTTTTAATGATTCATCTGCTATATTGCTGTGGTCATGAATGCAAACTCTGGAGTTGTGGAAAAAAGTTTTATAATCGTCTTTCTTGGAGCAAGATATATATTATCTACCAGAATATTTCTGATTATAATTTAGGAATCTTTTGTAGTTTTAGGTGTGGCTTCAAATTAAAGCAGCAGAATTGTGTACTGGTTTAAGCACGAGCCTTCTATTAGAGCGGTAGTAGTCTTGGATTTCTTGGTGAAACACTGTCTCTGAGGAAAATTATTTAATTTCTCTGTCTCCATTTTCCTGTTACATAACAAGATAATATATTTATCTCCCTGAAGATGCCAAAGATGAATCATGTTTGGAAATCACTTTGATCAGTGAAAGAAATTTCAAGCCATCATGAAGTATTCATTCAGGAAGAAGAGTTACTGAATTTTTTTGAACTCTGTAGCTAATCGGCTCTAGCTAAGAAAGGAAGAATAACATCCTTTGACAGTGCTGCTTTTGCCATTTTGATTCAAAGTTTGTATTTTCTTTAGCCTTTATTGGTTATCCAATAGGAGGCAGAATTGGATCTCTCAAGCCCGGCTTATTTTCAGCCAGAGGAACAAACTTTCTGGGAGACTCCTTCCCATGATGGGTTTAGTCATGCCCTCAGGTTTTCCCTGTCTTAAGATCTTGTTTCTCTTTTCTCACTCCAAGGGAAATCCTTGTTAAAGCTTGGTATCCAAAGTGCCCATTGTCTATGTTTATTCTTAGCCAGCTGCATTGCTCCATTCAGTTCTTGACAGCCTTTGCCCCAGATTAGGCAATTACATGCAGATCTACAGTTGCCCATCGCTGGCTTTGGTATTTGCGTGCAGGATCATGCTGGAGTTGTTACAGCAAAGCACATCAAAACAGAACTTCTGTAGCGTCCGTAGGAGAACGCTTCAGAGTAAGCCAGGTTGCCAGTTTTGCGTGAATTTCCACACCTGGGGAGCCAGATGGCTCACTCCAGACCTAAACCAGGGTGCTGCTGCATGTAGAGTTGTAATGTGGTGACCAGGGAGCCCCAGGCTCAAGTACAAGTCCAAGATTTGAGTGAACATGACAGCATCACTCTCACCCTTGTCTTTCAGGAAAAGCGGGAGGGAAGGTGGCTCAATGGATGTCCACACATTCTCAGGTGCTCCCTGGGAGTCCACTGATTAATTGAACTGGTAGTTAGAAGGAATATGGATTACATACGGAGCTTTGCCTTTATCAGCGGTTAGCAAATTTCATGGAATAGATTCTCTCTTAGAAGTTGTTCCCTCTCACTTTCATTAGGCTAGCTTGGCTTTAACTTTTTAACAAAAGGAAATACAGATGCATTGGAAAATGTGCTGGAAAGAACTGGATAAATGTTAGGTCCCGACTGGAGCTGTAGGCTCTCCTGGCTGCTTGTCTGAGTTCTATCTCTGATCCAACACGTGGAGTTAAACAAGTTATTTTGTCTCTGAGTTCCCCATGTCATGGTTGTATAAAATAGGCACAGTTGTTCAGCCCTTTTTGCTCAGCAAAAAAACTTTTTGGAGTTCTTCTTTTGCGCTGAAAGGTGCCAACAGCAAAATGTAGATGTGACAGCAACTTTTTCCAGCCTTACTGTGTTACTGGTCAAAATAAGTGTTTATGAAAATAAAATGTACTTTTTCAAGTAATATTATTAGGAAAAAAAGGCTGCGGCTGTGAAAGGAGGCCCAATAGGTAGTGTGCATTCTCTGTAGATCTAAAGACGCACTAGGGTCTAATGCCCTTAGCCAAAAAACCACTGCTGTTGTAGGAGACTTGTTTAGGCATTTGGGGAACTGGGTCGTTATTTCTGTGATCCAGTTGTCGTCTAGTAGACTCTCAAAACCACACAGGAATTTTGTAAGTAACAGAAAACACCAGTGTAACAGTTCGCTTTCAATCACCTGTTCATTTTTAATCAACTACAGAGTTTTATTAAATGAAGTATCAGTTTCATTTAATGAAATGAACTACCTGGAGAGTTCAGAACACAAAACAATTTAATAATTTCCCTTTAGCTGTCAAAAAAAGGCAAGACTGGAAAAAAAAGTCTTAAGGCAGGTAAAAATATTTAGAGGCAACTATGTGATGTACTCTAGTAGAAGAGTGTAAATGACTTCAAAGTTATCATGTTCTTACCTTTTCTTTTTCGACAGGTGGACAGGCATGTAGATCTCCTAGAAGTTGCTAAAGAAACTGATGGCTTCTCAGGAAGTGACCTGAAAGAAATGTGCCGGGATGCAGCACTCCTTTGTGTCAGGGAATACGTTAATTCTGCCTGTGAAGAAGAGAAGTAGGTGTTTTATTCTCTGTGTTACGATAGCCGAACAGCAACTGTGAATGCTCTTGGTGCTACATTTTGTGCAGTTATGAGTTTGTATCTTTTGATTTGAATTGCAAATTTAGGGTTGTTTTAAACACTGTGATTCACAAGTAGGTTCTCTTTTTTTCTTCAGAAATTGCTGCTATACAACAGAATGTCAATAAGTCATGTTTATTCATTCTGACTATGAAAATAAGATTATTTGTTCCAACGTGATAAGCTTGAGATGACATGAGAAAACAAGAGAGTTGTATTACTACATTATATTACCAAGCTTAGATGCTGGAAACGCTCTTGTATGCATGTGACTGTATTTGCTGTAATGTTCCTCTGATTACCTCCTATTCTTGAAGGTAAACCATACGCATGGGTATATGTTCCCAGTAATGCTGGCTCCCTATCAGAGTTGCTGTTGTCAAGGATTACTTTTCATTGTCTGAATAGTTGTTATGCAGCACCTGATTCACTATTTGCTTTTTTTTCTCTTTTTTTTTTTTCTCCTTTTTTTCCCTCTTTTAAAGCCATGATGATGATGAAATCCGGCCCGTGCAGCAACAGGATCTACACAGGGCAATTGAAAAGATGAGAAAATCGAAGGATGCCACGCTCCAGAATGTTTTGATGCATGTTAGTTTAGATTAAGACTCAAGAGTATGTTTGCAGTTTCTGATGTGATTTAGTTTGTTGACTTCTGTAATCAGTTAGTAAAAACAACGTAAGGGGGTGGGAGTGGGGATGTTCTTTGAAGAAGGGAGTTATGTTTCTGGAATTGTTTTTATACAACAAATTCTAAGTTATTGAAATTTAGTAATGTGCGATTAGAAATGTAACAATAGATCATGAAGTGGAACAATTAGCCCAGACCAAGAGGCAACTGCCTGTGTTCTGTCCCATAATCGATCCGCTGTGTAGCCTTAAAGCAGGTTCTGATGTGGTGCACGGGTTCAGTGGGTCAGCTGTGTGGAGGGGAGATGATCCATTACCAGTTTGTGTATATATGTACAAGCGTGTGTGTATGTATGAAATGTATATATCCACACATTTTTTTATATATAGACATAATCTGTAGATAACTTGAGTATGGAAAATCTTTTCTACTTACTGAATCAAACCAAATCAGAAGATGTATAGATTAAAGATTCATCTATATTCAGTTCACATTTACTTCTTCCTTTTAGCAGCAAATACGAAGATAGGAATTCTGCTTCTAGAATAATTTTCAGGCAAAATTAAAAATATTACTGATTTTTCTTTCACATTACCACTTGAAGTCTGGTGCCATTTAGTAAAGACAGTAAACTACTGTAAAAATGTTTAAATACTTTTCATTTTGTATGAATCCTACTATTTGAGGATATTTAATGCTTTTAATGTTATTTTTATA